AGTAATTTAGTGTAGTCAAGCAAACAGCTGCAAACATGCATAATATTGTTTCTTAGCCTATAAGGGTGAATATATCTGCTAAAGTGGCATGTTTAGAGCCGGAAACCATCAATTCACCAAGACAAAACAAGCTCACTGAGGTCAGAGTCAACATAAAATCAACCCATTTTATTTCCATAATCATTCTTATGTCTCAGTGAACAAGACACATAAGCATAAGAAACATTAAATTACAATGCAAGTCGGAATTATGTATGATCTTAGGAATCACATGCATATATAAACTGAATTATAGGACTGAGATCTTTACTCAAAGTAGACAGGGTCTATTTTGATTTCATGTTGACAGAATGGGAATTTGATTTGGACAAGTACACTGCTTGCTCCATTAGTGAATGTGTGAAGCAACACTTTGTTGTAGCAAATTATGTGAAATTGTTCTGTACACGCAGCATATGGTCTCTAGCCTTTACAGCGGTGAACACATGCCAGAGTGGACTAATCTGACATACAACACTCAAAATCCATAATGCATGTACTGTTCGTATTGAAGCTGTTGAGAAATATAGAACATAACTGCTATGTATTTTTAGATGGGCACTTTTGTTGACGGCTGTAGCTGTCTCTAATGAGACTGTAGGGTCCTGTGCACTGAGGTTGATGGGAAGGGAGCACAGCCCAAGCCACACAGGGTGTGGGCGAATAATGCAGCCACACATTAGTCCTGATAATGGAGGCTTGTGGGCTGCTGCTAGCACATTACTGCAATTGACTTCTGACCTTCAGATAGGAGCAACAAGCCCGGCATGCTCATCTGAGAGAGGGCAGGCCAATGCACTCTCATCATTTTATCCAAACTGCAGTTTTCTCACATCATTTCCATCTGTTTTACTAAATGTGCTGAATACATAGTAGCAACATACTAACATTTATAGAAGAACTCATAAATACAGTGGAACTGTGATTTCCAAAGTGGCATGTAGTCATTTATACTTTTGAAAGTGTTCTTCCAATCTCACAATTAAGATTATTTCAGACATAGTATTTACAAATACATCTATACCATTATTTGACCCCTTTATATTAGCAGTTTTCAGCTACACAGGATACAAAGACAACATCTCTTTAGCTCTTTATAAGGTTTACGTTTAATTTGCAGACATTAATTAACAAAATGTACAGAGATGTTAGAATGTATGGTAAATGTGTGGTAAATAAATAAATAGTCAAAATAATAAAAAAGTGTAGACTATATACACTAACAATCAACAGTATTAATATATTTTTTAAATGTTTTTGAATAAAGTCTCTTACACGCAATAAGGCTGCATATATGTGATTAAAGATACAGTAAAAAAAAAAGTAATACTGAAAAAAAACAAAAACCTTTTTTTACCTATTTTAAAATGTTATTGTAATTCATTCCTGCGATGACAAAGCTGAATTTTCAGCTTAAAAAAATGAAGCAGCTAAAACTTTACAACATTGATGAGAAAAGAAGGAAAAAAAGGTATAGCAGCAAATCAGCATATCACAATGATTTCTGAAGGATCACGTGACACTGAAGACTTGTCAAAGTCCATCCAATGCTATCTCTCGACCGATTCAAACCTATTTTACGAGGTGGCTAATTTGTACGAATTCGTACAATTTCACTTGTACAGTTTTGTACGATTTATGTGAGGGGTACGTTTAGGAGCGGAGTTAGGTGTGGTCCTTCGTACAAATTCCTACGATTTTGCCACCTCGTAAAATATGTACGATTTTTCACAGAAAGTACGAATTCGTACACGTGAGGTTGTATGAATTAGCGACCTCATGAAATAGGTATGAATTCTCGTGAGAACGAGTTGGTTCATCTGTGTTTTGGATTTGGGTGGCACATATTTTTGTTCTGTGACCTAGTTTTTAGTTTGTTCCCTTGTTACTCATTGATTTGATTAGTGTTTGCACATTATGTTAATTTAGTTAATTGATTTGTGTTGGTGTATTTAAGCTCTGTTTTGTTCTGTTCATTGTCAGTTCTAATTACGTGACTCAGTTGTTCTGTTCCTGTGTCCAGTTTAGAGTTTGTGTAAATAAAACTATATTGCTGTACCTAGATCTATCATCCTTATTTGCAACCGTTTTGTGACAAGACTGGGGTAATGACTGCTGAAAATTCAGCTTTGCCATCACAGGAATAAATTACATAATAACGTAATATACATATTGCGAACGAAAACAGTTCTTCTACATTTTAATAATTTTAACAACATAAAAAAAAAAACTCTTATTCCAAACAGGCAGGCAGATAGATAGTGGGCAATTAATCTTATTTAGTGTTCAAATTTGGCTTTCAACAATTATGGAACCAAAATAATCTAGATAAAATAAAATTCATACTTTTTTGTGTCTGCATTTCGCCAGGCACAGCGCAGAGAGTTCGCCTTCTCCGTGTGTTTTGAGTTTGAGCTCCGTCAAGTTAATTCTTTATCGTCTATTTTTTATCTCAAAATCAATTTTATACACCATCATTTTCATTTCTATAACGTGTGAATATATCCCCTATCGTATTCTACAACAAAAACAATCAGAGTGCCTTGTTATCAATAGTTCTATTTTGATTTCCCGAGTCCGCTATTAGCATATAGCCCATTTGCATCACCAGCGTGGTTGCTGCTAATCGCGCTTACATTGCTAATACTCTATTCACACATATTACCATTGTTTTACTCACTGTTACTTGCTTTAATGGCGGATGTGTGTCTACCTATGAGTGCAGGTGAGGAGAGGCAGACCCAGCTGAGAGAGCGGAAAGCCGTGCTGGAAACATCCCGGGCTGATGCTCACAAGTCTGAGGTAAGTATACAGCGCGCTGCTAACTCTCCCACCACCTCTACTCCGTGTGTTTCTCTGCACAGGCCCGGTGCACCCAGGACGCGATCTTCCCAGATGTCCTTCACTCCGTCGCCGGGACACCACGGACCCTGAGTGCACCCGCAGCGAAAGACGAGAGCCAGGCCCCGGGCGATGACCTCTCCCCCTCCGCCGCCTCCGGTCTTCGAGATATCCACCCGGAACTGCTTTGCTCCCCTCCGCGAGACGGAACGCGACGCTGTGTTCTTCGGAGACTCCATCGTCCGGCACGTCCGTAGTCTTCTACCACGCTACAATCCATCACGCTCCCTAAGTTCGCAAAACTATGGACTTTACCTAGGATAGCAAAGTCCACTAAAGGAGGTAGAGCTTTTTCGCATTTGGCTCCCAAACTCTGGAATAGCCTTCCTGATAACGTTCGGGGTTCAGACACATTTTCTCTGTTTAAATCTAGATTAAAGACATCTCTTTGGCCAAGTATTCAAATAATGCATCTCATAATCTTGTACTGCAGTTATATCTGATCAAATGCACATTATTATTCTTTAGTTTGGGTTAAACAAATAAATTTTGCTTGGTTGGAACAGCAGCTATGCTAATTATGTCTCTATTTGTTTCTCTGTTTCTCTGTTTTTTAAACTAGGATTTACACAAGCTTCCGTCTGGATCCAGAACACCTGAGAAGAGATGATGCCAACCCCTCAGAGGACCTCAGATTATGCCAACCATGAAACAACATACAGAACTACCACATTTTGCTATAAGTTTGATTGCATCATATAATAATTGCTGTTAATAGTGTTCATCGTCTGTTTGATTACGTCTTTAATTGATTTTTCCGTACATTTCTGCCATATGTACATTAACTGACAGTCACCACTGATAAGCTACCACTAAATATTGTAGAAACTTAATTTTCTGTAAAGTTGCTTTGCAACGATTTGTATCGTGAAAAGCGCTATACAAATAAACATGAATTGAATTGAATAATAATGATCTTGTTTTGTGTTATAAACCCAGTGCACCCTTTTCCTGTACAAAACATGATTAAAAAAGACGACAGACAAAAAGACGAACAACAGAACTATAGAGAGACAGGCAGATAGATGCAAACAAACAGAACGATAGACGCATGGATAAATAGATGGCTAGATAGATTTATTGAAGCACACCAAATTCATTTATGAGCTCTCACAAGTCCTGAGATCATTGTGTGAGTTTAAAGAGCAGCCATTAGCTTATCTAAAAGCGTGCAAATCAATAGCTGAACTCAAGCTCCCAATGAGTGCATCTGGAAATTAACTGTCTGAAGTGATGAAGGCATATAATATTAAAGATTCAATACCATATCTATGAAAAACATCACAGCTCACACCATGTGTTGTAATATACAGTATATATATATATATATATATATATATATATACAGTCTATATATATATATATATACAGTCTATATAATATATATATCTTTTGCCTGATTGTTGGTATTTTTAAGGTCCGGTATATTAATGTCATTACGGTAATAGTGTTATATATATACAGTCTATATATATATATATATATATGTATCCCTGCTCTTTCACCCTCTCTGTGCAGTATGCCCATGTGAATGCCACATTATGATGGAGAATGTAAGGCATCCCACTCACACACTCACATATACACTGACTACAGAGATGACCCATTCTGAAGCCCTCTGCTACATTTAAATGAATCACACTGAGATGGGTTAGTGCCAGACTTACACAGCCAGAGAGACTAAACAGATGTTTTCAGAACCCTGCTTCTGCTGCCAGGCCTACACAATCCCTCTCTCAGCTTGTTTTGAACTGTATGCTTTGTGAGCAGATTTTCAACGGATTTAGATGTATATTTATAATGGAAATGTTTTCAGAACAAACCTTTCAAGCAATATGTGCAAGTTAAATTTCAGTGATTAAATTAATTTGGCCCATATTAATGTTTCAAGTATTGCTATGTACGCTTGTAAAAATAAATATGCTTTATTGAAATTTCATGGAGAACCTTTAAAATCCAGATTTCAATTTCATAAAAGGTTCTTTATGGCGATTTTCTTTTTTTTTTTCTAGGTTCGTCTACTATGGAATCACTGTGAAAAGTGCCTTTTAGAAGCATTATTTTTTTTAGAAAGCTATACTTCCAAAAACCAAAAAAAACCCAAAAAACTTTGCATTCACTCGGTTTAAAACCAAAAATATGAAATCCATCAATAATTATTTTGGAAAAATAACTGAGTTGAGGGATCTTGGATCCTGGTCCAAGATTTTGTCTCGTGTTTTGCTTGTGATCCCCAACTAGTTACTTTCTTTCTTTTTTCGCTTTGCGACAATTTCCACAAAGATATGATCTAGCTAAAGCAACCATCACTGTATCAAGTTCATCATGGTTAGCACAGAATCAAAGATGTAAGTAATTTCAAATAAATTATCAAAATTCATACACACATTTACTTTATTAATTGAAGTTAATGATTTAGCTCTACTGAAATGATATGTTCAATCAAGCACACGCATACATCAAAGTAAGCGCCTCAAAAGTCATTGAAAGAAAAAAGGACATCATTAAAATTCATGATCTAAATTTACTCAAACAGTAAACTCAGTTTTGAAGGAAGGAAGGAAGGAAGGAAGGAAGGAGGGAGGTAAGGAAGGAAGGAAGGAAGGAGGGAGGGAAGGAAGGAAGGAAGGAGGGAGAGAGGGAGGGAGGGAGTGAAGGAAGGGAGGCAAGGAAGGAAGGAAGGAAGGGAGGCAAGGAAGGAAGGAAAGAGGGAGGCAAGGAAGGAAGGAAGGAAGGAGGGAGGGAGGGAGGCAGGGAAGGAAGGAGGGAAGTAAGGAAGGAGGGAGAGAAGGGAGGGAGGGAAGGAGAAAAGAAACTGGTTATTCACCTCCTTGGTGATTGCTGTGCCAAAAATAATAAATGCGAACAGATTAATGTCACAGAAAAAAAAACCTATACATAGAATAGGTGACATTGAATAAGTAAAAAAAGATGTCAAAGAGTACAGCTTTCCACCCTTTTGCTGCCAACGCTAATTGTCAGTTAATGGTAATGAGATTCACTAGATGAGTGCTTCTAATCTAATCTTCAATTTGTCAGTTTGTTTTTGAAGAACTTAATGCTGGCAGTTTACATCAGTCTATTTTTATAACATTCTGTCAGAGTTTGCACTATGTTAACTATATTACATTAACTCCCACAACAGACATTCAACTTAAGATAACGTATTTTCCTCATTTAACATCATGTATAAGTTCACATGTAATCTCTGTGGGTCATTCTGAAGGTAAACAGATTTGGCAGAAAGGAGCCATGAGGGCTCAAGCTTCAGGGTGCTTTCCCACAAAACTTTTGGTGCAGATCCAAATTACCAGAGTTTGGTTTTAGTTTTTATGGTAAATCTAACATGACAAAAACATGACTGAAACTCTGCCATCTCTTCTTGAGCTATAGTTACAGAGGAATCTATTTTTGGTCATTTTGGACCAACTATAAAAAGCACCTAAGTTTCCTAAGCCTAATTAATCAATCAATAATTAATAAATTAATAACTGAAATAAATAATTAAACAATTAAACAAACAAACAAACAGTAGGTGGAGTTAAGGATCAAGTAGATCTTAGCTTGTGAGACTGATGCAATTAAATGAACACCCTCCTGTGCTTGCATGCAAAACTCCTTTGGGACATAGTCGTTTAGACAAGTCTATCTAAAGATCTCATTAATATCTGACAAAATGCATGTACAAGCACGTGGACTTGGATTTAAATCTGACGACAATTCTCCTCTTATCTCAGATTCATAGTTATCCGACAGTGAGAAGTCCCTGACATTTAAACCTGTTCATACATGGAGTGAGTGCTATGGGAGTCACAAACCTGACAGCGTTCAGATGTCATGATGACAGCACTGAAGGTAGCAGGAGATCTTTCCAGATGTCTGCATTGGTTTAGCAACCAATAATTTACAAAAGGAATTACGCAAATGTGGTAACAGCGCAACACACTGGCAAAATTGGGGCTGTTGCTATCTCAATCTGAGTGCATTTTGCATGTGCAAGGCGATAGTACAAATGGATGCAAGGCTACATTAACATGTAAACCTGACAACGAAAAAAAAAATCATCAGGCTCAAAAGTCTTTTAAAGGCACTGATGAGGCTAATGTCATTTTGTGCCCTTCTTGTACAAAAGCGATGCTAGGTGTTAAAACAATGTTTTTGGATGCTAAACGAAGTGAAAACACTATCTCGCCAAAATGATGGAAAAGAGGACATGCACACACACACACACACACAAACACACCCACACACACACACACACACACTCTCTCTCTGTCTCTCTCTCTCTCTCTCTCTCTCACACAC